GAAAGAAAAATGGTATATCAAATCATTCTGTTATAACATAGTTGAGAATCATCTTTATACAAAGTTTGGTAAAAAAAAAAAATCCTGAAAACTAAAAATGTATTGGTGATTTAAAAAAAATCAATTGTTTTTGCCTATGCATGAGCATTCATGTCTTTTTATTTTTTTAAAGAAATTTGAGTCCTGATGTCCTCTACCAAGTACGTAGCATATCTTATGAATTAAATATTATTATTATTATTTATTTTTTTTAACATTTTTTTTAATGCGCTATATGAAAAAATGCAAATTGTTTCCTAAAATATTTTCGCTGTAACTTTCAGATGATGTATAAATCTCAATTTCGAAAAATTGACCCTTATGACTGGTTTTGTGGTCCAGGGTCACATTTCACAAAGCATTTTAGTGCTAAAAGATTAGTTAGGGGTACTCAAGAGGACTCCTAAATCACTAAAGACCAAATCCTAAAATGGCCTGTTGCTGGCAATCAGCCTAATTTAGAAATGATAATTTCCCTTTAATTTAACTATGTCCTTCTTTTCATGTATAAGTTGGGCAAGAAGTTACAGCTGTTCTTGCGTCTAGTTTGGTTTGCTTTTACTATTGCAAAACATCTTACTATCAGCCATGATTGTACTAGTCTGTTAATTAAAAGGCTGCTTATATGCATAGGCACTAATTGTTTACAAGATGCAGAAATGTAAGAGGCTGACAATTAGCTGAACACATACTTGTTTAATTAGTGACTAAAGTGTGATTTGTTTGACTAGTGTGATCGCTCTGTACCGTGCCCGGATGCCATTCACTGAACCGTGCCCTGGCTCATTTGAACAGGTGTGCTCGGGCGTGGTATGCATATATTGTGATTGCTAACTGTTCCGGAGCACGGAACAGCTACTAATTTTGTGTGTGCTACTGTCATCATTACGACAACAAACTTCTGCTATTACTACTCGGATAGTACACTTTTAAATTAATTTGAGTACATTTAGGTTTATAATGGGTCTGATTCTCAACTTACTGATGAACAGTAATTGTTGTTTGCGAGTAAAGGTCCGCCGGTCACACTATACTTTTTTTTCCATTGACATCCATTCATATGCATGAGAACAAGAAAGAGCAGAAACAAAAGCTCATCATGTGAAGTTTTTTCACATTTCCAGAGTTCCAAAGTTCAAATTTGGTGTGACCAACAGAAGATCTATACGTCACAGCATGACCTTGTAGCTAAATTAAAAGAACATAAATTTAAAACTGCAGCGCTGCAAGAAAGTGGAGCAGATTGTTTTTACGTCTTGGATTTATTATTATTTGTTATGTTGTTATGTGGTGCCAGCAGCTATCACTCTGCAGCTCTCACCTGGTTGCCCACTGAAGCTAAGCAGGGATGAGCCTGGTCAGTACCTGGATGGGAGACCTCTTGGGAAAATGAAGTTGCTGCTGGAAGAGGTGCTCACCCTGTGGTCTGTGTTGGTCCTAGTGCCCCAGTATAGTGACGGGGACGCTATACTGTCAAAAATCACCGTCCTTCGGATGAGACAATTAATCCGAGGTCCTGACTCTCTGTGGTCATAAAAAATCCCAGGATGTCTTTCGAAAAGAGTATGAGATCCTCCCTCACAATGTAAAGCACTTTGAGTGCCTAGAAAAGCGCTATATAAATTATTATTATTATTATTATGTGTTGAATTTAAGTTTTTAAAAAGACACTGCAGAGTATGATGTCATATCACAGCTGTTGCTGCATCCAAAGAAGTTTTGCATGCTCAAAATGTGAAAGCTGCCAATTCCTCCATCAGCGTCATTTGCCTCCGTAATAATGTTCTGATACTTGCAACACAGTTAAATGAAAATCGCTACCAGGCAACCGTGCTAAGTATAAATATGCCCGTAAGCCTTGTTCAGACTGGCAGTCCAAATCCGATTTTTGTGCATAGCCAAATGGAATCCGATCATATTTAGCTAGTGTGAAAGCCAGTTTTTACAAATACGTTTCAAGCTACATTCATATGTGGTTTGAATTCCTACTCAAATCATGTATCTGTAATCAAATGAAAATTGAACTCTTACTCAACAGAGGTTTACTGTTCAAATCAAAACATGGAGGAAAAATTGATTGTTTCTTTAAAAAAATGTATTTTAATAATTAATTAATTATCACTTTGAGAAGTACATTCTACTGTACAATAGTAGTAATATAGAGTGTGTGCATGTGATATATGATGATAGTTTTTCTCAAATTAAATGGTGAAATCCTGGTGAAGTGACTTAGAGCAGATCTGGAGATGATGTTCATGTCCTCATATAGTGAGGCAGCAGACGTGGAAAACACCACGAGCGCCACGCATGCTTCACTATGTGTGTAGTAGATAAAACCGCGGCATTCATTCATTTAGAGCTCAGACGCACAGACCATGCAAACTGCATATTTAAATAGTCTTTTGCACTTTAATATTCATAATATTTCTATGTATAAACCCTAGTGTGCTGCTGCAATATTGAGACCCTTCTTTCTCTCTCTCCCTTTTTCTCTTTCTCCAGAGTGACCTGTGGTCATGTGGTATCACTGCTATAGAAATGGGTGAAGGAGCTCCTCGTAAGTATCCACACGTTTCCTGGTCTAGTCTGTCCTCTCAGTCATTGACTTAGTCATTGAATTCCAGTACAAATGACTAATTACTTACTAAGACATCAGTTGACTAATAGTATAAGTGGTATTACATATAGTATAATGTTGTAATTTAAAGGTCACATATTTTACACCTTTTTGGAGTTTTATTTTAGGTTTTGATGTACTTAAGAATATATATTTGCGGTATAAGTACCAAAAACCAGGCCCGTAACCAGCTATGAGGCCACCGAGGTCCGGACCTCGGTAAATTTTTCATGTTCAAAAATAAAATGCGCCCTTTGAATGACTAATTTGCTGTTAAACTCCTCATATGAATGCATGCATGACATGTATAATTCAGTTTAGACAGTTTGCAAGAATGTTTAGCGTCCCTATTATGAAAATGATCGCTGCGAGACGCTGGCGGAGTGAACAAGGCTTGAATGAGTTGTGAGTGAGGGTGCGGGTGCGGGCACAGCCTCTGTGTTGCCAGATCCAGCTATTATAAGCGTTTTTGGACTTGTCTTTTCCACTTAATTTAACACTAGAAAGTTAATAAAGTAGGAAGTTGCAGTTTAGAGTCAGCGATATCTTTATCTTATTTGCAAAAGATTGGAAATAATTTAGGTTTATTTTTATTTATTTTTAGTTTTTTGTTCGTTTTAGTATCAATAGCTGGCAACACTGCATCGCCGGCACTTAAACTGAACGCAATCAAAAAAGCCCATGGACAGGTTCGGTAAGAGAAACGCAAAAATAATCATGATATTATCTGTCATAAACATTATCAACGCTGTCAAAAACAGTAGCATTTAACACTAGTACACACAGATCTGTAGAACAAGTAGGTTACAGAATGAAATGAAATACGCAAAAACTAGCCATTAAGTATAGTTAAATTTTCACAAATCATGCTATAAACTTTCATAAGAACACTAGACAAAGTTATTGTAGTTATGTATTGTTGCAATAAACAACTGATAAAATTATCCACCCTTAAATATAGTAAAGTATTAACAAATTTTGATGCAATAAATAGGGTATGATTTAAAAATAATCATCCCTCCAAAACAGAGAAAACATCTTTCACAAACATCTACATATATGTCTCCTTTAAAGTGTTTATAGTGTATATGAGTTGTATTTGTAGGGGTTATTATAACACAATTCTTTAACACCAACCCCCATCATCTACACCCCCCCGGACCTAACTAATTTTCAAAGCCTGGGTACGGCCATGCCAAAAACCATCTCAATATATTTTTACAGCTCCTCTCTCAGGATCTCTGCTAAGAACGGGTAAATTTTGGCCTGTCTAATTAATGTTCATGAGCCTCTCTTCTGATTGGCCTGTTGTTTTCTGAGTGACGCACGGCCAGGCCAACCACAGGTAACTAGGGTCATGTATGCTGTGGCTTGGTGATACTCACAAGTAAGGTAAATGGAAACACCGGTAATGATGGTCACTGCTGAGGGAAATGTTAGGGTCATGTATGCTGTGGCTTGGTGATACTCACAAGTAAGGTAAATGGAAACACCGGTAATGATGGTCACTACTGAGGGAAATGTTGTCCGGCCTTACATGTTTGAGCCGAACTCAGACCCCGAATCGGCAACGACAAGGGACAACCAACCACCTCCTCAAACGCGCGTACAACAGGATGTTTCAGAATGGTAATTCATGTTTTGTTTTTTTTTCAAACACTGAATGCAGTAAACTACGTAACTGTTGTAACGTTAGCATCACGTTAGCGTTGCATAACCGTTTACAAACTATAATTTCAGATTATGCTGGCTCCATAGTGTAAAATAAAATGTGTGAGAAGTTTACTTATGGGTTGCGGATTTGAGGTCGGACCCAACAATGAAGGGACTGCAGCATCTTTGATGAGTAGCTTCTTTGAAAAACCGGCATTGAACTGTGCCTGATTGACGAAGCAGTCACTTGTGAAATGTGCAGACCAGACGGTTAAGTTCGACCTAAATTGCTGTGTTATTTCTGAATAAATGAACATTAGCTGGTCTCTTATATTAATGTTGTTCGGAAGCCTGTGCAATGATGTAGTTTCCTGACATCCATCAACTGAACAGCGTTTTCTCGACATGTTTCCGTGTTGTTGTTGCTCAGCAATGGCATGGATGCGATGTTGTCTGGTGGGACGGTGGGGCAGTGCTCGGGGTGGTGACTGAAGTCGGTCACTGAGTAGTTCTGACGTCACATTTTTACATAAGTCACAACGGCTCATGAAAAGGCACATCTACTTTATGCAGGCTGTGTGCATTTGACTGTGGATTGACTATTTTGAAACTTATGGTAGTTACATAGCCCCTAGACCTCAGTTAGCATGAAAAAAGCCAGCAAATTTCAGTTTTGACAATATGGGACCTTTAACAGTATGACGGTATATATTGTGACAATGGTATAAAGGGTCTATTGCTAGAGATTTTGCTATATCGTTTATTTCTTATGTAAATGTATCTGCATAGCACAGTGCTACTAAAGTTGCACATAAAGAAACATGCATGAATGAGAAAATAAACAGCAGGACGTGCTTGAGCTTAAAGTTTGCTTGTATCTTTTTGATTGAGATTTTTGATTTGTAATTTTGTTCTATTGTATTTGTCCTATTGTTTGTAATTTACTACTTGGTTCTTATTTTTAAAAATAAAATAACAATATTGAAATATATACACTGAACAAAATTATAAATGCAACACTTTTGTTTTTGCCCCCATTTTTCATGAGCTGAACTCAAAGATCTAAGACTTTTTCTATGTACACAAAAGGCCTATTTCTCTCAAATATTATTCACAAATCTGTCTAAATCTGTGTTAGTGAGCACTTCTCCTTTGCCGAGATAATCCATCCACCTCACAGGTGTGGCATATCAAGATGCTGATTAGACAGCATGATTATTGCACAGGTGTGCCTTAGGCTGGCCACAATAAAAGGCCACTCTAAAATGTGCAGTTTTACTGTATTGGGGGCTCCAAAAACCAGTCAGTGTCTGGTGTGACGACCATTTGCCTCACGCAGTGCAACACATCTCCTTCGCTTAGACTCACTAACACAGATTTAGACAGATTTGTGAACAATATTTGAGAGAAATAGGCCTTTTGTGTACATAGAAAAAGTCTTAGATCTTTGAGTTCAGCTCATGAAAAATGGGGGCAAAAACAAAAGTGTTGCGTTTATAATTTTGTTCAGTGTATATTGTTATTGTAAAAAACTTACAGTAGACAAACACGCCATAAAACAGTTTTGAAAGTTGCTATGAAAATTACATGATCTAGGACCTTTATGCAGTGCATGCCATCCTGCACAGTCTTGTTTACATCCTTGTTATATTCAATATGGTGTCTAACCTGACTAAGGTCTAGAAGCACATAAGGGCAGCATGAACGTATTCCATATGCCTCCAGTGGTTTAATCGGTTTTCTGAAGCAATCCAATTGCTTTTTTGGCACTGGCTTTCATACGTAAACTATACGAGTTCACTCTGTTGCAGGTGTGATTATCCATCCCTTTATCAGTGATTCATTTTCAGTGAAAATAGCAGCAGAATGGAGATCAGCCACAGATAAAGTGGTGTATGCGAGGATGGCCTATGACCTATCCTGTTTTAAAAAAAAAAAGAATGTAATCTTATCTAGTGATTTTATTTTTACAAAAAAAAAAAGTATATTGTTACATCTTTATTAAATGTGTCTGTTACAATTACCTTTTTTGTATCCTGAATGCACTGGTTCAAGTTTTGTGTTTCTCCCCAAGACTGGCTAAAGCTACACTTAAGTGTGTTTATTTTTGTTGTGCTGATGGGCTAATTTTTATGATCTTTTCCCCTGTCTCTTTCTGCAGCTCTGTGTGACATGCATCCAATGCGTGCCCTTTTCCTCATTCCCAGAAATCCTCCTCCACGGCTCAAATCAAAGAAGTGGTGAGTCGATGTCCTGAGATTTCCTCTCCATATTTTGCTTTTTTATTTATTTATTTATTTTTACTATTTTTGATACATAAATTCCTCAGTCACACTCGTAACAGAAGAGCCACATTGATGTCAGATATTACCAAGATTTTTCTGTCACAAAAACCTCTTTTGTAATCCTTCTCTTTTATAATCATGAAGCCCATTATTCAGTAGTTTTTTTTTTGCAATATTTTCAAGGTGAAATGTGAGTGACACTAAAAGAGCAGATGAATGTGAATCTGGCAGTGTTTTATAACACTGGTTGTTGTACATCAGGGGTGTCAAACTCAATTCCTGGAGGGCCGGAGCCCTGCAGAGTTTAGATTCAACCCTAATTAAACACCCGATCCAACTAATCAAGTCCTTCAGGTATATTTGAAAACTACATGGTATGTGTATTGGAGCAGGATTGGAACAAAACTCTGCAGGGCTCCGGCCCTCCAGGAATTGAGTTTGACACCTCTGTTGTACATAAAGCTGCTGGTCTGAAAAGAAATATCTGGTGAGTGGCACTACAACAATAATGCTCTATCGAATTTGAAAGTAGTGTACCACCTACACTATACCCTACCCTTAACCTAGCCGATAGCATTAACAAAAACAAACATTAGATAAAAACGCATTTGCTGAAACAACCATGCCATTTTATTTTGCTTCTACAAGTCTTTGAGCTCTTCTGTCAAGACTAATGTTTCACAGGAAGTTTACAATGGGCAAGTTTATTATGTCAGCCTTATATGTTGAGCTAATGAGATGCCAACATCAAAATGTGTTCATGCACTATGGTAAAAGTGTTTTGAGGGCATAGCATTGTATTGTTCAAGGAACCGTGCAAAAATGAGCCTTTATTAGTTAAGAATCCCTTTAATCTTTTGGTTGTCCAAATTAAAGGGTAAGATCACTGATTTTCAGTCAGCTTTGTATTGTTCCAGTGTCGGCAGTATAAGTAAATGAACAATGTGCATAATTTGTCTTTGTTACCTCCACCCAGATATTCCTGTTTATTTGTCAACAAAAGTCTGCTGGATGATGTAAAATGCCACAGTTACAGGGCTTTTGTTGAAACTGCAGATTGTACTTCTGTATTTTTGTAACTCTGCACTCAGACAGTCTGATCGAGCCCAGTGCATATTATGGGTGTTGAAGTTTTCCTACCGATTTTCCCCACAGCCCCTTTTCTCTGATTTCTTTAGTTGTGTAGTGCCGATTAATAAAAAAAATTGCCTTTAATGAATTACCCCTTTAACAGACCAGTCTCTGCTTTTCTCTGTAATCTTCTATTCCCATTTTCCATAGGTCCAAGAAATTCTTCAGCTTCATTGAAACCTGCCTGGTGAAGAATTACAACCATCGCCCCTCTACAGAGCAACTGTTGAAACATCCTTTCATTAGAGACCAACCTAACGAGAGACATGTCCGCATCCAGCTCAAAGACCACATTGACCGCACTCGTAAGAAGAGAGGAGAGAGAGGTTAGACACTTTAATACAGGGATTCTTAACAGGATATGTTTTTTAAAATAGTAAAACAATTTTTAGTGCTGTGAAAGTGTTTCCTGAAAGTGCTGGATTGATATCAATTTCTTGATTTTTAGGCTTAATTTTGATGAACCGAGATAAATCGACTTAAATCCCAAAACTGATCTTTAAGTCTGTGCAGTTTTCAGTTGATGTGTGAACAAAACTTCACTAAACATTATTTGTAGTGCCTGCAATCCAATAATCACAATAAGCTTTGCACAATAAGCTTCTTTCTGTTGCTCATACCTGCATGCATCTTTGGATCAGACTGTGTAAACCTTAATTAGCATTGGCTGTAAAACACATAGGCAATACCAATACCACTGTATATAATGTGGTACAAATACATATAAAGGTTGCCAACTCCCTGTGTAATTTTGTTATCTGACTTTTGTGGTGTTTTATTTCACATTGTAAAGTTGAGTTAACAGAATTTTGCAGGAGTTTTTTTAAAGCAAATTTTAAATTTTTATGATTAATTTCTCCTTTCAGATGAGACTGAATATGAGTACAGTGGAAGTGAAGAAGAGGGAGAAGAGGCACAAGAGCAGGAAGGAGAGCCCAGGTATCACAAAACTTGCCAAAACATTTTTTTTGTTCCAAAGTAACACCTACTTGGCTTCAGATGTATCTTGAAACTTTCAGCGTATTCCTGGGTGGTTTGTGGCAAGTCTTACTGATGTGTCCCCTCACCCTCAGTTCTATAGTGAATGTGCCTGGTGAATCTACTCTGCGACGTGACTTCATTCGGCTGCAGCAGGAGAATAAAGAGCGTTCAGAGGCACTGAGGAGACAACAGCTCCTCCAGGAACAGCAACTCAGAGAACAAGAGGAATATAAGCGCCAGTTATTGGCTGAGAGACAGAAACGCATTGAACAGCAGAAGGAGCAAAGACGACGACTTGAGGAGGTTGGTCTCCAATATAAATATTGTGATTTTTGTCTTAATCTTGCTTATACTGTTCTGCATGAATGTGTGTGTGATTGAGTGATTTTGGAGAAAATGGAAGTGCAGGCGGTTGCGGTGGCATCAAACAACAATACTTTTACATTGTAACGCTCACCCTTATCGGAAGAGGTTACAATTATTAAATGGGGTTATATTACACTGTGTGAGGTGAAATAAGTGTTTTAAGACATAAGACAAACGACAAACGACAAAAGTAGAATGAATAAATAGTGTTTTTAACACAATTTTTTAATTTAATTTTTTTAAATATTTACACAATTCACAAGGAACTTAAAAGAACACAATAAAACTAGAATAACTTAGGATGTTAAAAGCATGTAGTCCATTTGAATCATACCCTAAAACAGTCCTTAAGAATCCTAGTGTGTTGAAGTTCCAAAGTAAAAGTGTCCACCGGTGTATATACAATCCAAAGAAAGTGATAATCCAAAATGAGTGTGATACTGGAATGGTTAGTCCATAAAACAACTCCTCAATCCAGCTAGTGCAGAGTTTGGTCAATGACCCCGATTGTTTGACGTGCTGCTTGCTTTATACTGGTCTACTTCCTGATTCCTGTCATGTGATTGATCACATGACAGGTAGACCCATGAAAATTTAAAGACATTTTAAAAGACATTTAAAGGAATTTAGGCGAACACTAAAGAGAGGTTGAGTCCCATTCCAGCTTGGGTGTCCTAAGGTAGGTGGCACTGATCCTCCCAGGATGACGTTGCACCCAGCCATGCTTGCTTGCCGGCCAGCCCCCCTGGTGTTTCCTCTTTCCCAGCTTGGGGGTCTCTTTGATGGATGATGAACGGTGAGGTGGTTGATGATTGTGAGGTGGTTTCTGGTTAGGGGCGATGACGACACATTCCTTGGTCTCCACACCACATGACTTGCAGGCCCCGACGAACCTCCAGACGTCTCCGCGGATCGTGGGCCACCAGGTAACGTCCAGGATTCGTAGGAGGGTCTTTAGCCGTCCATGATGTTGATCCTGTGTCCTCCGATGGAAGTGCTGTATGGTTTGTAATACCAGGGACCTTGGGACGATGAGCTGTATCTTATAGCTGTCCTTGTCCTTCTGGATCCGCCGATACAGAAATCAGTGTTGGTCCTGCACGTAGATCCCGTTGGTCGGTGATGTGGAGGGAGAGATGGAAAGTCCTTGCAGAGTGTCGTTATCACCCTGTGTGCTGGTGTGTTCCACTCTGGAGAAGGGAAGGTGGGAGAATATGGCGGTAAAGTCTGGCCCGGCTGGAGTGGTGGTGCAGGATTCTCCATCGGTTGCTCTGTTGATGGTTTGTTAAGTGGTTGAGGCAGTGGGAACGTTGGCCGGAGGAAAGCCAGGGGTCGACGTGGGTGGTACTAGGCTGGTCGTTGTAATGGGAGGGGAGATGGCAAATTCTGGCTTCCTTGTCCATTCCAGTTGTTTTGCCCATTTGTTGTCTCTCCTCATGAAACACTCAGTAACCTCTCTCTCCAGTGTCGCCACAGCATCCTTTATAAATTCCTCCGTCTTGGCAAACTTACAATCCACAGCCTCTCTAAAATACACTTCACGATAATTAACATTACTTTCAACAGAGTCTTTAAAATCCTTCTCCAGTCACAGCCTCTCTAAAATACACTTCACAATAATTAACATTACTTTCAACAGAGTCTTTAAAATCCTTCTCCAGTTTTAAAACAAGTTTTTTAAGAACAGCCTCCTCAGCACGAAGCTGTACACATTTACATTGATGTAAAAACCGTTCATCATTAAAACCAGTAAATGCATTAAAAGAAGCAGCATTATTTTGTTTAGCCGTCATCTTAAAAACACTCCTCTCAACACCGCTTTTAAAATCTTTTAAATGTTCCCCGTACGGGCCACCATATGTAACGCTCGCCCTTATCGGAAGAGGTTACAATTATTAAATGGGGTTCGATTACACTGTGTGAGGTAAAATAAGTGTTTTAAAAGATAAGACAAACGACAAAAGTAGAATGAATAAATAGTGTATTTACACAATTCACAAGGAACTTAAAAGAACACAATAAAACTAGAATAACTTAGGCTGTTAAAAGCATGTAGTGCATTTGAATCATACCATAAAACAGTCCTTAAGAATCCTAGTGTGTTGACGTTCCAAAGTAAAAGTGTCCACCGGTGTATATACAATCCAAAGAAAGTGATAATCCGAGATGAGTGAGATACTGGAATGGTAAATCCTAAAATAAATCCACAATCCAGTGAGTGCAGTGTTTGGTCAGTGAACCTGATTGTTTGACATGCTGCTTGCTTTATACCGGTCTACTTCCTTATTCCTGTCATGTGATTGATCACATGACAGGCAGACCCATGAACATTTAAAGACATACACACATTAAAATGATTAAGAGGATTAAAATGGCTAAGACACATATGTAAAACTATTAAAACTCAAATATATAGATATAAAACCGTCTTTATATATTGAGCGGTAAAAACATGTTTCTTTGTGTGACAGTCTCACAACATGTGCTGACATATCTTAAACTTTTTTTGAGGAATTCTGTTTATAATATTGAGTTTGTTCTTAGTGGTCCTGTGCTGCCTATTAATTCAGTTGATTTTAGTACGTCTATACTGGTTAGTGTTGATTGAGTGAACACCACTTAAGTTTAAATGTATAATGATCATAATGCAAGGCAAGCACATTACATGTACTGTATATGACATTTTTAGCGGCATTCAGTATGGGATTTGACTGTTTGATGCATAGATAAAGTAGGCAATTTCAGATAGATTGCTTATACAGATTTTAGAGTTTTTTGATTGTATCCTGGGGGTTTGTAAGTAGTGATGCACGATCATGATTTTTCATGGCCGATTCCGATACCGATTTTTTTACAAGCAAACTGGCCGATTCCAATACCGATTTCCGATTTTTTTTATTTTTATCAAGCAACAAACAAGAAAGAATAAAAGAATGTTAAATCAAATCATGTTTAGTGCAACGAGTAAAACAAAGATGCTACGGCAGGTGCTTTTTAAATCACATTAAGTCCATGTAATTTTAAGGATAAATAAAAAATATTCATCCTATAGCCTACAGAACTGACGTTTACTTCTGGTTTTTCAAAAGTGCATGCGAGTTCTTCTTTACAAAATGAAGCATTTCAGCTTTGTCACAAGTTAGTCTGTTTCGTTTCTCATCCAACACGTGAGAAGCTGAGCTGAACAAACGTTCACTGTCTACGCTTGTGCAGGGCGCGGACAGGTACACTCGCGCAACTTCAGCGAGTGCAGGAAAGCGGCTCTTATTTGTGCGCCAGTACACCAACGGCTGTTCGCTTCTTGGTATCTGTGCCTCAGACACGTAGATCTGCATTTCCAGTGCCGTACGGCTGACCGTATCCTTATAATCACTTCAGATTTTTCTTCCAATATCTCATCGTGCATCGCCAACAGTGAGCTTGCTCTGCGTGGTATTTTTTCTGCTGGCGCCTCTGTGCACTCTTCATTCCCTTCAGTGTATCTCGCCTCTTCCCTCAGTTCTCTTGTTTCTGTTTGTAACACCTTTTGAAGCATTTCTCGAACTGTATGTTTGACTGTGTTGGAGAAATATAGATCCTTGTACCTTTTTATTAAACAAACAAAAAATGACAGATTATAGCCTGTTATTATGTAGAGCCTTATTATTAAATTCTTCCACACAAATGACGTTCGTGAATGATTAGGCCAACAAATGTAGTCTGTGCACGCGGGCGCACTTCCGCAAAAATCGGACGAAAAAAATTTAAAAAATCGGCCGGTTGCCGATCGCGCATTATAAGCAAAAACCGGCCGGTTCCGATTTATGGCCGGTCAACCGGTGCATCCCTATTTGTAAGATTAGTAGACTAATAAGTTACAAAATTTTGTTGACATGTTAATCAAATTAGTTGTCACACACATCCCTGTTGTAAACATGAATTTGCAAAGCCCAAAGTAATCGAACTGTCCCCAGAAAAAATAAGAAAAACATGCACAGATTCAGTATTTTCGTTTGGACAACATTCGGTGTAAAAATATGGAAATAAACACTCTCAACTTCTCACAGCAACAACGACGGGAGCGTGAGATGAGACGGCAGCAGGAGCGGGAGCAGAGACGCAGGGAACAGGAGGACAAGAGACACAAAGAGGAAATGGAACTTAAACGTAAAGAGGAAGAAGAGCGCAGGAGAGCCGAGGAGGAAAAGAGAAGGATTGATCTTGAACAGGTTACTTTATTAGATATCTCACGTTTATAATAACATAGAACTTAAGCTAAACATTTGTTTGACTGTTTGTTTTACAGCAGTTTATCCACCGGCAGCTCGAGGAGGAGCAAAGACATCTTGAAATCCTTCAGCAACAGCTGCTGCAGGAGCAGGCCAAACTTCTGGTATTAAATCACTTTGTTTCAGTTGTTTCATTGTTTCAGTCCTTCAGGGGGCATGCTCAGGGTAATGCTGATTAATGCATGATGATTAAAATCGAGAAATGGCCTTAAGCAATTAACCAAATAAACTGTGAAAAAGTTATATTTTTTAATACATCATTAGAAACGGAATGGACATACGAGAGCACTGTACTAGCTCGCGGCGCCATCTGCAGGACAGATAAAAGGGTTCAAATGGTTCAATTCACCAAATGCGAATAGAATCAGCGCTGAAACATGTTACTCGCCCGGTAACTTTATAAATGGTGGTGAGAATTTGAGATTACTTAGTACTATCATAAAATTTGCAATGGTTGTGATGTAATTATATAAATATAGGCTATAGTGTGAAGCGCTACACACACACAGAGCTTGACATACATGCTCAGGGCAAGTTCTGCAATCCTACTGTATGTGTACAGTATGTTCAGTTGGCTTGTCTGGGGCCAAATTTCTTTTTATTTTTGATGCATTTATATTTTTGACATGCATAAAACAATTTATTTTATTTGAATGAATTTGTTTGTCAGATTTACCGATTGTTATAACATCTCTAGTACTTTCCTTAGTTTCAGGTAGCCAAAGCTAAAAAAAAAGGTCTTTACCAGTGAAACTAAATAAAACCAAAGTAGGCTATATAAATAAATTATTCCAAAATGTTAAATCAAATAATGTTTAGTGCAACGAGTAAAACAAAGATGCTACGGCAGGTGCTTTTTAAATCACATTAAGTCAATGTAATTTTAAGGTCAAATAAAAAATATTCATCCTATAGCCTACAGAACTGACGTTTACTTCTGGTTTTTCAAAAGTGCATGCGAGTTCTTCTTTACAAAATGAAGCATTTCAGCTTTGTCACAAGTTAGTCTGTTTCGTTTCTCATCCAACACGTGAGAAGCTGAGCTGAACAAACGTTCACTGTCTACGCTTGTGCAGGGCGCGGACAGGTACACTCGCGCAACTTCAGCGAGTGCAGGAAAGCGGCTCTTATTTGTGCGCCAGTACACCAACGGCTGTTCGCTTCTTGGTATCTGTGCCTCAGACAGGTAGCTCTGCATTTCCAGTGCTGTACGGCTGCCCGTATCCTTAATCACTTCAGATTTTTCTTCCAATATCTCATCGTGCATCGCCAACAGTGAGCTTGCTCTGCGTGGTATTTTTTCTGCTGGCGCCTCTGTGCACTCTTCATTCCCTTCAGTGTATCTCGCCTCTTCCCTCAGTTCTCTTGTTTCTGTTTGTAACACCTTTTGAAGCATTTCTCGTACTGTATGTTTGACTGTGTTGGAGAAATATAGATCCTTGTACCTTTTTATTAAACAAACAAAAAATGACAGATTATAGCCTGTTATTATGTAGAGCCTTATTATTAAATTCTTCCACACAAATGACGTTCGTGAATGATTAGGCCAACAAATGTAGTCTGTGCACGCGGGCGCACTTCCGCAAAAATCGGACGAAAAAAATTTAAAAAATCGGCCGGTTGCCGATCGCGCATTATAAGCAAAAACCGGCCGGTTCCGATTTATGGCCGGTCAACCGGTGCATCCCTATTTGTAAGATTAGTAGACTAATAAGTTACAAAATTTTGTTGACATGTTAATCAAATTAGTTGTCACACACATCCCTGTTGTAAACATGAATTTGCAAAGCCCAAAGTAATCGAACTGTCCCCAGAAAAAATAAGAAAAACATGCACAGATTCAGTATTTTCGTTTGGACAACATTCGGTGTAAAAATATGGAAATAAACACTCTCAACTTCTCACAGCAACAACGACGGGAGCGTGAGATGAGACGGCAGCAGGAGCGGGAGCAGAGACGCAGGGAACAGGAGGACAAGAGACACAAAGAGGAAATGGAACTTAAACGTAAAGAGGAAGAAGAGCGCAGGAGAGCCGAGGAGGAAAAGAGAAGGATTGATCTTGAACAGGTTACTTTATTAGATATCTCACGTTTATAATAACATAGAACTTAAGCTAAACATTTGTTTGACTGTTTGTTTTACAGCAGTTTATCCACCGGCAGCTCGAGGAGGAGCAAAGACATCTTGAAATCCTTCAGCAACAGCTGCTGCAGGAGCAGGCCAAACTTCTGGTATTAAATCACTTTGTTTCAGTTGTTTCATTGTTTCAGTCCTTCAGGGGGCATGCTCAGGGTAATGCTGATTAATGCATGATGATTAAAATCGAGAAATGGCCTTAAGCAATTAACCAAATAAACTGTGAAAAAGTTATATTTTTTAATACATCATTAGAAACGGAATGGACATACGAGAGCACTGTACTAGCTCGCGGCGCCATCTGCAGGACAGATAAAAGGGTTCAAATGGTTCAATTCACCAAATGCGAATAGAATCAGCGCTGAAACATGTTACTCGCCCGGTAACTTTATAAATGGTGGTGAGAATTTGAGATTACTTAGTACTATCATAAAATTTGCAATGGTTGTGATGTAATTATATAAATATAGGCTATAGTGTGAAGCGCTACACACACACAGAGCTTGACATACATGCTCAGGGCAAGTTCTGCAATCCTACTGTATGTGTACAGTATGTTCAGTTGGCTTGTCTGGGGCCAAATTTCTTTTTATTTTTGATGCATTTATATTTTTGACATGCATAAAACAATTTATTTTATTTGAATGAATTTGTTTGTCAGATTTACCGATTGTTATAACATCTCTAGTACTTTCCTTAGTTTCAGGTAGCCAAAGCTAAGTTAAAGCTTCTGGTTTCAAAGCAGTTGGAGAGTTTTTGACTGTATCAATTTAGCATGAATTTGGCTATATTCCCCAACATCAGCTCTCACTATCTTTGATCACAGGCAAGTGATTTCGTCCAGGAATCGTAAAATCAAAATGCTTTAAAAAAAAAAAGAATTTAGAGCATTCATCGGATCTTGCTCTTAGTATAATAATAATAATTTTATTTCATGTCATATTTGTGATTTTTTTTAAATGATTTTTTTAAATGTAATATTAGTTTTGAACAATAGCTATTCGTAATGTTCATATAGGCTATTCGTTATGAAAAAAAATCGTTATCAAGAATAGCTTTATGAAGTTGTTTTAAAAAGTCTTTATAACAAATTTTAAGTAAAAGTTAATCAAATAAAATAAAGAATTCTTGATAATATATTTAAAATGAGAGAAAATCACTGACATATTTAGGCTGTTTTACTAAATATGTTTTACGAATAAAACCATTTAACTTGCAATGTTAACTTATGAAATAAAATAAAGACAAGAAATAAATCACAACGATGTGTAATCAAGAAAAATATTTGACAAAATTACAAAATGAACCTTTGACTTTTGACAGTGAACGCATAGCCGCATATAGCCTACAATCACTGGCGTCAGTCACAAATATTAAACATGTTTAAAAAAATCTTTGTGAAAATGACTGGTAACGACTGTTTTTTTTTATTCTAAGATTATAATCTTTAGACAGCACACAATATGCGATTTTTCTGCAGACTGCAAACAGCGTCGTCAAGACCAAATTACATTCATAATCGGCATGACAGTCGTGTAGTGTGTTCTCGGCTTTAAACTCTGTGTGTGTGTGTGTGTGTGTGTGTGTGTGTGTGTGTGTGTGTGTGTGTGTGTGTGTGTGTGCGCATCCATGTTGCCTAGTAGCGAACGTGCTTGCAGCGGGATCACGTAATTTATGCAGAAACAACAACATTCTAATTTCTGATTGGCTGATAGGTGGCATTTAACTCTGTATAACTCGAGACAGCTATGAACTTTAATTGTCCATTAATTGTATATAGCGGGACATGTTATCCCTTACCTCTCAGCGTGAGAAATACAAGGTGAGAGCATGTGAACTGGTTGAAATGCGTGTGTCTCACGGTGAATGCGTGAGACTTGAGAGCGCTGCAGTACTGTTTTCAGTTTCGATTCACTGCTGTGTTAGTCGCTTTCATTTGCATTTGGGAACGCAACATTCATCATTAGAATCGTTTATAAATCTGTTGTTGTTTACAAAGAGAAGTTTCAGTGTCACATGATCCTTCAGAAATCATTCTAATATGCAGATTTGCTGCTCAAGAAACATTTACTATTTATTGTTATCAATGTTAAAAACAGTTTTTGCTGCTTAACATTTTTGTGCACAAACATTTGTGGTAAGATTTAAAAAAGAGAGAGAAATTAATAATTTTATTCATCATACATTAAAGTGATGAAAAGTGAGTGAAGAGTGAAGATATTTAAAATGTTACAAAGGATTTATATTTAATAAATGTAATAAATATATTTGATAAATTTAACTTTCTATTTATCAAAGAATCTTGAAAAATAAAATGTATCACCATTTCCACACAAATTATGAAGCAGCACTACTGTTTTCAACTGATGATAATCAGAAATGTTTCTTGAGCATCAAATCAAATTGTAGTGATTTCTGAAAGATCATGTGATACTGAAAAGTAATGTAATTTTTTTATTTGTAATAATATTTCACAATATTGCTGTTTTTACTTTAATTTTGATCAAATAAATGCAGCCTTGGTGAGCAGAAGAGATGTATTTCAAAATCATAAATAATTGTAATGTTTCCAAACTTTTGGCAGGTACTTTAATAATAAAAATTCTATTAATAAAATGATTATATTATTATTATCATGATTATTGAATGCTGATTTTTATTTTTACAGGACAATAGTTTGTAGTATTAAAATATAAGATATATCTTTTAATGTGATAAAATATATATTTTTAAATAAGTGCTGGGGGTGTGGGTTGGGGGCATGGTCAGATTTTCCTGCTTTTTTTGTCTGTAGCTGATCACATGCCTGAATATAAGACTGTTGGATTTGTATAGATTTAGCTGTGCATTATGGTGCCATACGCCAGACATGACAAGTGGATAAAATCAAAGAGTTAAAAGATATTGTTTTCTATAATTTGTGCATGCTGTGGCCACACATACTTCAGATATTTTCCCACATTGTCAGCTATTGTTATTAAGAGACAATTATGAAGACTAGAGGATATACTGTGTGTAGCCAGTAGTAAAATAAGTTGTTTTGACATCTTGAAAAAAACCTTGGCAGCTTGGTCTGAATTTTTAAATACTCCTCCAAGGGATTCGTGCAATTTACACCCAACTTCAACATTATACTAATACACTGAGATGATAAATCTGGAATGGTCTTGCCATGGTGACTTATTAAATCAATGACAAAAAATGAAAACAGGAAGAGGCTCATAAAAGTTTATTGTGTGATTTAGATCAGACTTCAGTCTGAATACATGGGTGGGTCTTGGTCATAGTGCCACCAGCTTGCAGCAATCAGTCAGAATGTGTCAATTACAACAGACGTGACGCATACATTCACATTCACATACATTAATGAAATTCGGTAGGCACATGGAACATCACAACACCTACAAAAAGTCTGTTAGAGCTATACCATGAACCCAACAGGAAGTTATAGGCTTAGATCTCTGCCACAGTTGTGCGCGCAAAAGATCATATTTTGAGTGCACAAAAGTGCATTTTGCACACATCTGAGCTTTGTGGAGAAAATGTTTGTTTCGCAAAGAAAAAAGTATTTCGAGCACACGAAAATCAATTTTGCATTTAAAATAAGTTTTTGGATGTGTGCAGACCTTCTCTTTTGCGCGTGAACGTTTCACTAGCTTGCTCCCTTGATGCCCGCCCTCAGTGCTCTCTAAATGCCAATGGCTCACTTGCTCAACACAACCCAGCGTTACAATATGCCATAATTCCAGCCAATCAGAGACGAGGCTGCTAAATTCTGATTGGCTGCCTTGACAACCATTCACAACTTTTCTTGCATTATCACAACAGCAGAAGAGGAAAAATAGTGCATGCATAATTTTTATGCAAGTTGATACTCTGATTATATTTTTTTTCCAAGCACATTTTGCCAATTCCAAACAACATAAATTTTAATAACTACTATTAATCTTGTATTTAATCACTTATAATCTATATAGGTCTGCACAAATCCAAAAACTTATTTTAAATGCAAAATTTATTTTCGTGCGCTCGAAATACCTTCTTCTTTCCGAGACAAACATTTTCTCCACAAAACTCAGTTTGCGCGTGTGCAAAACGCACTCTTTTTCAGAATTGTGGCAGAGATGTAATCCCATAGGAAGTCAGTCATTTAGATTTTTCTCAGCAAAATTTGTGCCATTTTAAAGTTTTATTTATTTTTTTATATTTATTTTTTTTTGCTAAATTGTGAAGCTTTTGAGTTTTCGTTAAACGGCATGTCTGTCGTGGCCTGACAAATTTTGATGTTTCGACATAAAAAAGGAAGTTGTTGTAACTACAGATCGACTGATATATCGATTTACCGATATTTAAGCATTTTACAATAATCGGATATCGGTTTTGTAATATCGGATTCACCGATAAACGCCGCCATCTTGTGGATGTTTTGAGAATTGCGCGCAGGATCGCCATTGCACCACGGCGTCTGAGAGGAGAGGAGACAACAACAACGGCGTGCACAGGTACTTACTTGATTTACTGTAGTTAGTAAACTTTATTTAACATAACAGCCATTAATGCACACATTAGATGTATTACATAAATGCCTGATATGCAGTTTATGCAGCTTGGCTCGAAATAGGGACGAACTCACGGAGTCACGTAAAATAATCCGTCAAGTCCTGTCCCAATAAAGACGTAACTTTGCGTGAATTAAATAATATGCAGCCATGAATGGGCGCATGTTGGAAATAAAAGTGCTGAATTTTATTCGCTCTCTGTTGTCTATATGCTCATCGTCTCATGAAAGCAGAGTCACGTAGGCTAAAATAATCCGTCAAGTCCTCTCCCAATAAAGACGTAATTTTGCATTAATTAAATAATACAGCCATGAATGAGCGCATGTTGGAAATAAAAACGCTAAATTTACTTCTCTCTCTGTTGTATATTTGCTCATCATTAGTCTCGTGAAGCCGCTTTCATATTGCTGTTCACTCACCGGGTTGATGCTTAGGAAATGCTCCAGCACGGCCACCGCATGTAACTTTTAACAAGATTCACTTGTTTAAAACACCCCTAAATTGTATTAACATTTACTATATTATCATTATTTCGCTAATAAACATCTAAATAAATACATCTCAATGGAATCTAATTTATTATCTCCGCGAGCGATCGCAGTTTGAGTGTAGTTCTGTGTAAATGCATAGATAAACTGCGCTGTCAGCAGGCATTTCATAATCTAGAACGACAAAAACATTATTAGTAATTCTGATGTAACATGCCAGTTGAGAAATGCAATAAAATACAATGTTTTGTTTGTTATATTTCAATATTCCAGAGAATATTATTCAGTGAATTAACATTTTCCAGTGAATTATTCTTCACTCTTTAGCCTATTAAACAGCGTATAAACCTACTAAAACCGTAGTTTAAAATGAAGTTGATATGACTCCTTTCAATTATTTATTTTCTCCATTTGAAAACATTAGACCTTCTACATTTATTTTGCTTATTGTTAATATTAGTGTTGCAGCTGATGCTTTAAATAAAATGTTTTTTTTATTGTAATATGAAGATTAAATTTAACATGAAAGACTGGTAGTTTTCAACACTTTTTTTTTTTAATTTTTATTTTTTTAAGATGGCTGAAAGGAGGAAAAACCAAAGTGAAGTATGGACTTACTTCACTCAGTCATTTATTTACTTTATAACAGTAAATAAATATCGGTTCTGCATATCGGTTATCGGGCACATAAACACGCAAATAACTGGTATCGGTATCGGTTATAAAATATCAATATCGGTCGATCACTAGTTGTAACTCAAACATACAAGGTCCAATCTACCCCAAACTTCACAAGTTTGATGAGAGTCCTGGCCCAAAGACATTCATGCATTTCACCCATTCATTCTCCAAACGGCTTATCCTCTGTAGAGTTATAGGAGGCCTGAACACATCTACACATGATGCACTCCCCCAACATGCACTAATGCTGCTTGTAGCAAATTGTTTTTTTTTTGTTTTTTTTTTTGAGTTTGCTTATTTTTCATTCATAAGGGGACTTTTCTCCAGTCAATGTATTGCCTTTATAGAATATTGAAATGAAGGAATTAGAAAATGCTCTTTCCATGAACTGAACCATGACCTTTTATGAAAGAATAGTATTGTGTTGTGTCTTGGCAAGCTTTATTTATTATGTATTTATCCTGAAACCTTTCAATTTCTTCTTCTTCTTCTTCTTCAAAAAAAAAAACAGTTTCGAAAGTTTAAAATGAATATACGTTGATGGCAGGTATAGTGTTTAGATTATTTATTATTTGGATTATTATACGTATATTTTGCCCTAATACAGCTTCCTCTGTTGTATCATTCCCACTTATCTGTTTTGTCTCAGTCGGGCAGGCAGTCAAATATTAGCATGATGTCATGAGGAGCATATCCTGACTGCCTAGATAGCAAGCAACCATTGAAACAATGTTAAGTTGATGTTGACACGTCAACACCAACGACATTTAATTAACATTACAAAGTGGTGTTAGGTTAATATCACTTTTGCACCCACAATTAATGTTGAAAGAAGATTGAGATTTCAACAGAAAATCAATAAAAATGTAATTGAATCAACGTTATGAAGTGATGTTGGTTCAATATCACTTTTGTACCTGCAATAAGTTGGTGAGATTTAAAAAATGTTTTAAAGTCAATTGAATCAATGTTACACTATGGCTGATTCTACATCACTGCTGTTGAATCAACACTGAAATTATCAAAAAAGAATCAATGGTAATGTCAGTTAATCAATGTTACACTATAATGTTGATTCTGCATCACTGCCATTGAATCAATATTGAAATTAACAAAAACTCATTGGTAATATCGTTTGATCAATGTTTGTTGGAACATTGAAAATACAACTGAAATGTCAACATAAAATAATGTTGCCATCTGATGTACCAAGTTAATGTTGAAACAACATTAATATTTCTGACCATTTCAAAATTTGGGGAAAACCTTTTGAAACATGAATGACACCTTTCCAGCAGTTGAGTCAATTTATTTTATTTGACAGTTTTAACACAATGACAAAAAGACAGAAAAAAAATGCTTAAAAAAAGAGAGAGAGTGGGGCAAAAAGGACAAAAGCATTACATCCTTTAGAAATAACATTACTTTCAGAAGTCTGATGTCATTACAACAAGTGGTCCAGTGGTTCAAGTTTTCAAAATATGGCTTGCATCAGTCTACTGCCTCTTTTCCTTTGGGTTCTCTGACATCTGAAAAAGAAAGTATGATGTTACTTAAGAACAAGTCAATTCAGTTGTCATACATAGTCACATTCAAGAATGTTAATGACAGTTTCTTTAACCTCTTAACTGTCACCCCCCATTTTTAAACGTAGACGTGAAAGTGCATTATTCAAACTTAAATTCTTATAATTAATGAACGCTTTGGAATACAGACCCAAGGTTGGACTCTTTTTAAAGAAGAATACATTTTATTGTAGAAGTGGAATCATTTCAAAATATGAAAGTATCAAAAAATTATAGAAGTTTAATTTTATTGTAAAGAAAATGCACTGTAAAATTTGTATTTTATTTTATATAAAATAAATATTTTTCATAACAGGTTTTACACAAAAATTGCTATAAAATTAAAGCCTTATGTCTAAGTAAGTTATATTCCAAATTTGAAGTTGATATAAAAAAAATTGAGGTTCCCGTGAGATTTTATTTAGGCCGTTATACCACAAACAACCACCTGGTGACACCCCAACTGAAATTTGAAATTGAAATTTTTTTAATGCATTTTTCTGTCACAAATGTCTACCTTTCTCTGTCAATATTACTTCTGTCACAAATAATATAAACAATATGTATTTTTTCAAGATTATAAAAGTTTTGATTGTAAAATACTGTTAATACATTTTGTAATATGACACTTGACACCACCCACTTAGGGGGAGGTAATTGCAATGTCCGATTTCAAAATTGTTTTCACAGGATGAATTTTGAGGTTTTAAGCTTTCCAATGATATCTAACTTAGGGTGATTACTAACATTTTTGATAGAGTAAAAAGGCAATAAATTATGTAACGGCTGACACTTAACAGGTTAAAGCAGCAAGTTCATCTTATGTAGGCCTTACTCTTTTTAAATATCACAAAATAGCCATGTCTGTCACTTTCTGAATGATTATGAATGATTGATTACATGTTTAAGCAGTTATCAGGGAGCAGGAGATAAGGCACAGGATAGCTTCAAGTCCCAGGACAGGTGACGATCCTTTCAACTACAACTCAATGTATAATCAAATGTCACCATTATCAGGTTAAATATAAATGAAGAGAAATGTAATAATTCCCATCTATTTTTATTAGACCCACATATTTTTATGTTCAAAATTAGCTGCACAGACACAAAACAAAAAAGTATGTTTTTTTTTGTCATGACTTTTGCAGTGACTATTTGCACACTGAGGTGCAAATAACTACAAGTCTGTACAAATAGTATCAAACATTATTTGTACTTAGTGTGAGTAGTATTTATTGTTATTTTTGTACTTCCTGTCTTTCTGTAATGTCTGGTTCTCAAAACCTTGTGAGGGTAAAATTAGTTTCTCACACTTCTTTTAAGTGCTGCAACAGTCTAGTAACTGAGATCCAAACTAACAACCAAAAAACAACCTTTGGCAGATTGACTGTGATTGTCAAACTTGACTACATAAAAAAAGAAACGGAGAATTTTCCTTGAATCTTTAAGACGACGAGTCCTCAGTTTTGGGGAAAATTACCCTTAATTTTCAAAAGATCTAATGTATTTTATATTTTAGTGTCTGAGTGAGCTACAATAAAGTTTTTCTTTTTTTTTTTTTTTTTAATTGTCCATCCTCATCTGCCTTCACTCCTACTAAAGGAAAGAATGCAAGGTGCTCTGCAAGCATTGCGTAATAGATCAATACATGGGCTATGTGTATATAACTATGATATTCTTGCTCATGTTCATGTCATGAAGAATGTTCATGCACTTCAAGAAATCTGTTAAATATTGTTGGAACTTTCATCAGAAAATTCCTAATAAATATTACTAAAGCAAGATGCATGCACGTTTTAAGAATTTAGAAAAATGTATAGTTTATTCAAACACTTTAATAACTTAATGTATCCTATTAGATTCAGTAACAATAAATCAAATGCAAGTAACAAGCATGCAAAACAAAGGACCGGAGAAATAATAAGATAGATGCACCATTGTTTGAAGCCCAGAGAAGTCATGCATGTCAGGTGGTTAAACAAACAAGAATTCTGTATAGGATGCACCTTTGTTTTCTTTCTAATAAGGAAGCATCAATTAGATTACTGAGAAGTGCACATGCAGAACCAAAATGGGTGTTTACCAATCAGTGTGCATTTTCAAACTACACTTGTTTTTTTTTTTTTAATAGATTTACTAAAATCATGAAGACCCACCCCTAAACCAAGACCCTAGTCGATTAGAGCAAATCGGCTAAAGCAGTTGAAAATGCCCATCATGGTTTGACACGCCCCACTGATTGAGAGACACCCACTAGTGTTCTGCAGAGATACATGCCTGCATGATCTTGTGCTAATCAACTACAAATCACTGTTAGTTCAATGTCACTGTCTTTACCCATGTGTGCTGTCGACTTTCATCAAAATTTCAATGCTGATCCACCATACTTTAAACACTGAAATATCAATCTCAACCAAAATGTTGGTTTGGATAAAAACTTAACATTGTATCAATGTCACCATTGCTATCTGGGTGTTGCCTTGATACCTGCTGATCCTGTTTTTTTTTTTTTTTTTTCTCGCCCTGTTTGTCCCTCTCCCAGGCTGATGAGAGGTATCGTAAGAATCTTCAGGGCACCTCTCATGCTGCTCCACCCAAGCAGTCTCCTTTGCCACAAGGATCTGAACGGTACTCCAATGGAAATTCCACTGAGTCCTCAGGCATGCACAGGCCTATGGAACCACAAGTAACCTGAGAGAACTCACTCCTGTTTTTCCTATTTCTCCTCCCATCTCTGTCTCTCTGTCTCTGTTTAACAATTGTAAGAAAGATATTCAATTTTTTTTAAACCTATAAGTGTAATTGTCGAATCATAAGGGGTACCATTTTAATACCTTTGTCTCAGTTCAGTTACTTTGTGTGTTTGTTTTATACAGCATGTCTTTTTCTTAGAGGAGTAAACACAACGTCATGGCTAGGGGTGGGAATCTTTAGACACCTCACAATCCGATCCAGTTCCGATTCTGGATTCAATTTGATTCGATTCTATGATTGATCTGCAATTTGAATCCAAAAAGTGAAACTGATTACCCCTTGCCTAACTGCTAGTTGATCAAACCAGTTGTTAAGACAGTCTTAGAATAGGGGCTGTTTATACAACTGGCCCATGTTCTGATTTTGGGTGTTAGCTTACCTAATTTTGTCGCTGGGTGAGGGGGTCTGTTGGATTGTTCATTAAATATAACAAATAATTGTGTGTCTGATTGGTCCAGCTGCTACAGTGTGTAATTGGCAGCAAGAAGAATATGACTGTCTCTAGCACACACAAGACATTGCACATAAAAATAAAAGCTCAGAAACATTTAAAGAGAAAATCACAATGCATCGGAGAATCAGCTTTTTTCTCCCACCCCTAGTAATGCTTACTGTGTCACCTGTGTTCCAGACAAGGTCGGAAGAGGGAATATCCATGTTGAAATGTCCCAATTCAAACATCAGTGAGTTTGAGTCAATCATGTTAACATAATGACCACGTGGTCTCGTCAGAAACAGAAAAAATATTAACACAAAATTTCATTTTGAAAACAGTTGACGAAAAGCTACAATTAAGGTATCTTTTTATAATCTTAATGTCTAATGTTTTTAAGTTTGACATAAAGTAGTTCCAGACATGTTAGTTGGAAGCAGTGACGTCAAATGGCGCATCTTGCTGAGGTCGGGGTTGATCGATCTACCCCGAGTTCACAGGTTGGATATCCGACTTTAAAGGGGTCATCGGATGCTACATGCACTTTTACAAGTTGTTTGAACTGAAATGTGTGTACACAACCACCCTATAAAGATAAAAATCTACCCAGTGTTTTTTTTTTTTTTTATCTCGTTAAATCATTTCCCCTTTCTCAAATCGAGCCGATCTCAGATGCCTGTCTGTGTGACATCACAAAAACAGGCCCCTCCCACGATAGTTTGATTGACAGTAGCGTTTCAGCACAGACTGGACTGGCGTCTTACCTTAGACCCGCCTGAGTGAGCTGTCATCAGTCCGCCATTGTTTCACTGCCGGAGCAAATGTAGACAAGAATGTCTCCTAAGTGATTGAGGTGTTCTGTTGTTGGATGTAATAATGAACATAGCAGTCGTCATTTACTCCTGACATCTGAGCCGCTGAAGACGCAGTGGATTACGTTTGTTTTTGAAGGGAATGCTCCCCCGATCTACCTAAATGCGTCTATGTTCGCGCGAATCATTCGTGATCCAGCTTCACCAACAGAAGAAGTGAGGTTTTTTAATGAATCTTTGCAAATCTCCTTTCCTAATAATGTGCTAATTAGCAAGTTTCACGATGAATGCAGCTAAAGTAAACAGTCCCTCAGAGAGCGGCTCGGAAGAGAGGGGCGGGGTCAGCAGAGCTCATTTGCATTTAAAGGAAAATGCTACAAAACGACTTGCTCTGAAAAAAGCTGTTTTTGACAGGGTAAAAAGGGTGTTGTTTTACACTACCATTGAGAAATTTTAACCAAACTATGTTACAGAATTTTCATTAAGACCCTAAAGAATCATATCAACTTGATTCAACAAGGAAAATGGGCATCCGATGACCCCTTTAAGTGGTGTTCCAGATGTTATTTCAAAGTAGAAAGTGGGAAAAATCTGAATTTCGAGTTGTCTGGAACACAGCATAAGACTCATGACAAGACATGTCATGACATGTGAACAAACCATGTGAATGTGAATGAAACTGAACTGCTCAAAGCTTCTGGGTGACATAACCCTGCTGTCATCTGTGAATTAATAGTCTCTCTCATCTTTCACAGTCTGCATCATCCTTATCATCTGTATTTGTTTACTCCTTGATTACTTAGTGTGTCTACCCTCCATGTCACTCTTTCCTGTTGTTCTCTTCCCCTCCCCGAAAGGTCCAGTGGTCTCACTTAGCTGCTCTAAAGAGCAACTCATCTGCACCCCCTGTGTCTCACTCCCAGTCCTTCAGTGATCCTGTTCCTAGTTTTGCACAGCTTCATCTTCGCTCTCAGGACTCCTCTCACCAGCACCACCCAGTGCACCCTTCATACCCTGACCACTCTCAACGTCTTTCTCAATCCAGGGGCGACGAGGCCCCTGAGCAGACCCTTGATGAAGAGGTGCCCCCGAGGGTAAGAAAAGGGACCATTGATTAATTTTTAGAGACATCTGTCTGATACTAAGTGGCACTATGAGTACATTTATGTTTTCACCCATAACTCTGGAATTGTATAGGCTAAAATCTTGTTTTAATACCTTTAAATGGATAGTTCACCCAAAAAAATGAAAATTGTGTGATCAGTTACTCACCTTCATGTCATTCCATACCCATAAGATTTTTTTTTTCCTTTTCAAAAGTCAAATGAAGATATTTTAATTAGGGATGCTTCGATCAGGATTTTTGCAGCCAATACTGAGTACCGATTTCTTGTCATGGTGATCGGCCGATACCGATACCGATTCTGATGCTTCAAGCTTTATACGCTGTGATCGGAGCAGTGTTTTTGTTGTCTCGCGGGTTTCACAATAATGGACATGAAATGTCGACATATAGGCTACGTAAAGCAATTGAAAGAACGGGAAGGTCGCTGTTCTCCATACTTGCAAAATAAGTTGACACAATGTTTACAGTATGTTTACACGGCATTTAAACCATGGCGGGTGAGGGCGTTTTCATATGGGTTTGGCCAATCAATGTCTACTTGCGTCACGATTAGTACCAGTTGTGCTGGTTGTTAAAGTTAAGGTGATGAGTAGACTGAAGTTGGGCTCAGGGGGTTGTGCTGTGGTATGTGTTTCCCATACATTTATTTATTTGTGGTGCTCACCACAATATCAAAACTGACTGATTTTTCAAAAGGCTTCGTTGAATAAACATGAGCACGTACTGCACGTTTAAAAATCAAAACGAGGTGTGAGTGTTTTTATATCACTGTATTTCTGAAGGAAGACTATCTTTAGAAAAATGTCTGTCATTTTCATTTCATCTTGCATGTTATATGCCTGATAAAGCAGCGTTTGTGAGCTCAGTGCTGCTTTGTGTACAGCGGTTACTGGGGAAACCTCTGTTTTTGTTCCGTCCTTCACGCTGTGACAACTCACAAAAGACTATTTTTAACCAAGCAGCGTGGAGAGCCGCTTCAGAAACGTGCCGCGGCTGGCTGATAAACACAAGCACTGACTAGAGTGGCCGCGATCAGCTCCGGTGGCCATGGAGCCATAATGCACCGCAGACGCGTGCAGTGAGGCGCAGATCAGCTCTAACATCACACAATCTGCTGTGTAGATGAATCATGCAAAAACATACATGACAAACAGCGAATTTTTCATTGTTTCTCGAAACGTCATAGCATTGCCACACCGTCAATGACATGACTGCGGCGCCAAATCATTCATGTCCCCACGCATCATGTACGTTGTCACGCGTTGATGTCATCAAATTGCAATCGGTTCCTGAGATCGGCCAAGTTGGTGAGTACCGATCGAGTCATAAAATATGATTATCGGCCGATACCGATCTCCAGCCGATCGATAGGAGCATCCCTAATTTTAATGAAACCTGAGACATTTCTGTCTCTCCATTCAAAGTCCATTCAACCAAAACTTTCAAGCTTCAAAAAGTTCCTAAAGACATAATAGAAGAATGAATATGAATCGAGTGCTTTAATCCAAGTCTACTTAAAAGACATGATCACTTTGTATGATGAACACATTTTTTTTTACACTTTTTTTCACATATAGACAGTATAATAATAATGTGGCTCAAATGTGTTTGCTTGACGCACAAGAGCCACCACGGTTTATTCTCGAAGGTCACACAAGCAAGTTTGTGTCCGCTAGAACAAATGAGGTTTGTTCTTATGAGTCAAGCAAGTGTGGTTGATCTGCCATTGACCATATTTAATGTGACCGTATGTGCATGATTAATGTTTTTATGTGAAAAAAAAACGTTTTACTTTCATGGTCTGTTTACCATGAAATCTGGAAAGTAGGGGTGTCAAAATTAACGCGTTAACACATGCGATTAATTCTTTCAGTTTAACACGTTTAAAATATTTATAGCAATTAATGCGGGGTCGGAGCTAAGGTTGGCCACACCACTCACAACTGCTGCTTCTGTCTTTTTTTTTTCTTGACAAGAATTGCGTTTATTTAGATGCAGAACATCTTTACAACCACATCAAATGGTAGACTTTTCAGACGCACACTCCAACTAGTCAAACAAGTGTGGAAAAGGTACACGTGACGAGGGAGCTTCAGTAGAACAACAGTGAACTGCGGTCAGATGAGATGTTGTCAGGCCATATGTCAGTAAAAACTAATTTTCCTGAAATTTCATGACATTTTCCTGAAAAAGTCATGAAGTTACTAAAAAGGCAATTAAACCTGCCTTAAAACTGCATGTAAGTGGTTTTCAAAAGTGTCCTGGAGCACCCCAGCACTGTCTCCTTCATCTAACACACCCTATTCAACTCGTCAGCTCATTAGCAGAGACTTTTAGACTTGAAGTGCGTCAGAAAAGGTAATGAGTAGTGAGAAAATACGATGCGTGTCAGTTCCACATCATGTTCAGCAGCGGCAGCTCTTAAAGCAGCCAAAATAACCTAATAACACAGCTGCTGTGATGTCTGTTATTCAAAGAACAAAAAATAAAAAGAGGAAATCAATAACTTTTGTACCTTTAAAGATTCATCTCTATTTAATTTAGAATTTAGTGTTTGATAACTATTCAATTTCTGTATATTTCTTACCTGCTAAAGGGCAGAGGTAGCTAAATATGACATTTATTATAATGGGTTTATGTAATGATTGTTTTAAGTTCACTTAAATTAGAAGTTGTTATTTTTTAAAGTCTAATAAATGTTAAAAATGATAGCTCTCAATTATACAGTAATGTTGAATGGCTCTGGTCTATAGTTAAATATTAGGGAGAAAAAACAATTTCATAGAGACAGTATTGGTATCAGTGATACTCGCCTTCAGTTATAAAAACAAATATTAAAAATATACTGTATGTTGTTTCAACTTTAATTTGAAGATTGAATGTGAAATTATTGAAATATAAAAGTATATTTAAAAACTTTGCTAGGTGGGATTAATCTCGATTAATTTCAGAAAAATGTGCAATTAATTAGTTTTTTTTTTATACATTTTTTTTTATCAATTGACAGCACTACTGGAAACCAAATATAGTTTTAGAATTTTTAACAAGAAATAGATTGTAAAAACCTGATTTAGTTTTACCATGAAATTTTCTTGCCATTAAAATAGCCACAGAATCTGGCATGGTGTTAAAAATAAACAAACCACGTTTTCTCCACTTTTTAAAACTGCTTGATCTCTTATAGTGCTACTTGTTTCTATACAAGTAATAATTTGTGCTAGTTGCTTTAAAATCAAATGTAATATAATAATATGTATTTAATATTGACAAGATCCTCTTCTTACTTTCTTGCAAGGTGCCAGTAAGAACAGTGTCCAGATCTCCTGTGTTGTCCCGTCGAGATTCTCCACTACAAACTGGGCTGCATAACAACCAAGCTGGACAGAGGAATGCTGGAATGTGTGATCTTTAACATAATTTATATGTAGAATATTCACCTCTAACATTACATGTAAAAGTTTATATTTCTCAGGAAAATGTCAGTAATTTTGTCTTTTGACCTCTCTTCCTCTTAGTAACATGGAGCCACGGCTGTTGTGGGAGCGGGTTGAACAGCTCTCATCTAGACCAGGTAGTGGGAGTTCGTCTGGCTCCAGTAACTCCAGCTCTCAGACTGGATCACAGGCCAGCTCAGGGGAGAAGTTCAGGGTCCGTTGTGAGTATTTTTATTTATTTATTGTTTTATTAACACACTGACATTCAAACTAATTCAACACTCTTTAGAAGGGGTGTCCAAACCTGTTCCTGGAGGGCCACTGTGAAATAATTATGAATAACACTTTTGAAAACTTTTACTATATTACACTATTAGAGCTGCTGAGATTAACTAATCATGAAAAAAATTATTATATTTGTTATAAAATATATATAAAATATTTTATAGCATTATATTTTGAACTACTGCCGCTGCATCAAAGGTTGCAGCTCTGAGCATTGTAGCCGATCACAGTCATGTCTCTTGAGCGCATGAATGCAGTTGTCTCACCACTGCAACTCAATTTTTGCACTCTCACAAATGCTTTGATCATAACTAACACAGTGCAAACATAATGTAAATAAGAGGTTCATTGTGCAGTGTATTAATTTGAAGATTGAATGTGAAATTATTGAAATATAAAAGTATATTTAAAAACTTTGCTAGGTGGGATTAATCTCGATTAATTTCAGAAAAATGTGCAATTAATTAGTTTTTTTTTTATACATTTTTTTTTATCAATTGACAGCACTACTGGAAACCAAATATAGTTTTAGAATTTTTAACAAGAAATAGATTGTAAAAACCTGATTTAGTTTTACCATGAAATTTTCTTGCCATTAAAATAGCCACAGAATCTGGCATGGTGTTAAAAATAAACAAACCACGTTTTCTCCACTTTTTAAAACTGCTTGATCTCTTATAGTGCTACTTGTTTCTATACAAGTAATAATTTGTGCTAGTTGCTTTAAAATCAAATGTAATATAATAATATGTATTTAATATTGACAAGATCCTCTTCTTACTTTCTTGCAAGGTGCCAGTAAGAACAGTGTCCAGATCTCCTGTGTTGTCCCGTCGAGATTCTCCACTACAAACTGGGCTGCATAACAACCAAGCTGGACAGAGGAATGCTGGAATGTGTGATCTTTAACATAATTTATATGTAGAATATTCACCTCTAACATTACATGTAAAAGTTTATATTTCTCAGGAAAATGTCAGTAATTTTGTCTTTTGACCTCTCTTCCTCTTAGTAACATGGAGCCACGGCTGTTGTGGGAGCGGGTTGAACAGCTCTCATCTAGACCAGGTAGTGGGAGTTCGTCTGGCTCCAGTAACTCCAGCTCTCAGACTGGATCACAGGCCAGCTCAGGGGAGAAGTTCAGGGTCCGTTGTGAGTATTTTTATTTATTTATTGTTTTATTAACACACTGACATTCAAACTAATTCAACACTCTTTAGAAGGGGTGTCCAAACCTGTTCCTGGAGGGCCACTGTGAAATAATTATGAATAACACTTTTGAAAACTTTTACTATATTACACTATTAGAGCTGCTGAGATTAACTAATCATGAAAAAAATTATTATATTTGTTATAAAATATATATAAAATATTTTATAGCATTATATTTTGAACTACTGCCGCTGCATCAAAGGTTGCAGCTCTGAGCATTGTAGCCGATCACAGTCATGTCTCTTGAGCGCATGAATGCAGTTGTCTCACCACTGCAACTCAATTTTTGCACTCTCACAAATGCTTTGATCATAACTAACACAGTGCAAACATAATGTAAATAAGAGGTTCATTGTGCAGTGTAGACAGTCATTGATAGATATTTGTACAATTTCTGGGTCACAGCCTTTTTACTTGTTAACAATAATATCTTAAACCCCATCAGGGGTATCCCCCGAATATAGAACTTCAAATGACTTGGGAATACGAAGAGTAAAAATACTGGTAATTATAGACCATATACCTTCTCAAAAACTACTCATCTTCGAACACTAACAAAATATATGTGCATGATGTGCTGTGCAGGCAGTCTTTTGCTCATGTATTCATCTCTATTATGTAATAACCACCCGGAAGTTGAAAGTGAGTCGTTTTGACAGCTTGGTTCCAATAAAAGCAGTTTCAGCAAGGATGTTTTGAGTTCTGAAAAGTTCAGTATGTTTTTACATGACCTCTTATATGTTATAGGTGCAGTGTGTAGATTTTAGCGGCATCTAGCGGTGATGTTGCGAATTGCAATAAACGATTAGCCTCTCCCCCGCCCCGCCCCGCCCCTCCCCTTGAGAAGCTACGGTTGCCAACACAGGACAAAGATGTAGTCATCTGAGACAGCAGAGAGTAGCCAGTCTAGCGTTGAGGTTTCTTTACAAAGATAAATTAAGAAATTATACATAATTAATTATTTAGTAAACCGATATGTTATATATTATGATGGAACGTTTGCAAAAGGCATTTACACTGTGAATGATCAAGTTACGCATACCAACAAACAAGTTACACTCCATTTATGCAAATTCTGAAAATTACCATTATTGGTCAATTGAAAGGCACACGATCCTGTTACATGAAATTGCAATCTAAATTAATTATTTTTCTACTTAGGCAAGGAAAAAAACGTTACTTCTCTCAGTGATTATGCCCATCTTGTAGCTAAAGCTATCAAACAACAGATTTCACTTACATTGCTAAAGTTGGACTAACTTACTGGTCCAACAGAAAACAGGCAGCTTCTTCTTCAACTTTGAAAACATTTTTCCTGCATCAGCGCCTTCCATCTGGGAAAAGCCACACCGATGTTTATTCTGGTTTTCTGCCGTCGTCTGTCCCGACTTCGTCTGCCTGCTTCATATTTTCGCTTCTTTGATGATGAAGATTGACGCTCTGTCGGCTTTTGTGCAAAATAATACAAGTGGTCCTCTATTTGTTCAAATATTTCTTACTCTTTTTTTACTTCTACGAACGACCTCTGCTTCTAATAAACCACACATAGACTACTACTACTACTTCTTCGTGCATATTCAACATAGCGATGATGCAAGCTGCCTCTAAAAACACGAAGAAGAAACGAAGAAGAACAACAGTGACAAAACACGGTCTGTAGAGTAGTTTGTCCGTTTAGGGCTACTGTAGAAACATGGTGGCGCAAAATGGCGACTTAACCATGGAGGGGGACCCGCGGTGTATGTAGATAGAAATGGCTTATTCTAAGGTAATTAAAACATAACGGTGAATTTTGTAAGGTATTTATACACCACTGAAAATATAGTTTTGTATGTTATATTGCATTTCTGCAAACAGATTCTCAAAAATATTACACATTGCACCTTTAAAAGGGAAAATGCGATTTCTCAATTCATGATTAATGATTAAAAATCCCCATAACTTGTTTGATGACATAAAAGGAGTTGTCATTAACTGGTTTCACAGTGATTTGAGGCAGCTTTTATTCTTGCTGACCCAGTCAAGTGATCAAATTACATATTTATTTGCATAACTTCATTCTTACATCTGCCGCTGCCAGTTCTGGGATTCTGTATGTCAGTCTAAAAATTCATAAATCAATAACTGATTTTCAAAATTACAACTTTCACCTGAGATTCAGAGCCAAATTACAGGGGGGTAAAAATAACTTTAGAAAGATAGCAGCATCAATATGGCTCCAGGAGTAAATTGTTAAATTGCACACATTTTCACTGGTCAAAAACCAAATGTGAGTCACTTCACATTCAGCTGATACTTTTTCTTTTTTTAGAGACATGTCTGAAGAACAAATAATATTGAAACTAGAAATGTATCTTGTTTCCTTCTATCAAAACAGTTGCATAGAACAGACCTGTCTGCGTACCTTATTTATTTTTTTCCAAAGTCTGGGTGCCTGCAACTCAAGAAATATGAAAGATATATCGATATCATTTTAAATTCTGGTTCTTAATAAACTTTCCTTTTGTAATCTTCATTTTTAAGGTCTTGCATAGTTCAATCCCAGAGATATGGGGAGCCCAATGCGACTCAGTGTCCTTTTTTTTTTTTCCCCCATTTTTAATGAATGGATGAAAGCCAAATCTGGTCACTTTGCATACAGCTGATACTTATTGTATTTAAAGAACAATGTCTGAAGAGCAAATAATATTGAAAGTGGGATTTGTTTCAAACATGTAGCTACAGAACTGCATATTTGAACTCTTGGTAGCTTCAGAAGCTGTTAAAATAAACAAAATCCCTTTTTCAAAATAATCCTGAAACTGATTCAAATATAGAATCTTATGAATAGACTACTGAGAGCAAGTTAATGCACCTTGACTTTACAATTTTAGTGCATTTTTGGCCAGGGGTCTGCAAGTAAGTTTGGCATCGGGCCAAAAACAAAAATTCGCCACTAGATGGTGGGCAAGAACATAGTCAAAGGATAATTTAAGAAATGAATTGATGATAAAATGCAACTAGAATTTCCTGTGACAGACTGTTACAGTGTCTTTTGTAACTGGTAGTGAGCTGTTACTCTGTGTTAAATCCTGTAGTAGGACAGTCATTAACAAAAAGCCACATTTGTGTGGCGGTGTCCGTGTTTTACACTGGATAAATTAATAAAGCAGAGTAGTGACACGTAACCTGGCAAGTATCTTCATTCACCAACTTGCTACACAGACCGCCTTGCTAAAACACATATGTGGGAGATGTGGAATGGATAAAAATAACTTAAAAAATAAAAGAGGCTTGAATAACCCATTAATGGCATGTTTGAGTCATGCTCTTAACAAACTATGTTTTATTTCCTCTTTCCATATTGTGAATAATAAATGTGTATCATTTTAATTTGCTTGTTACACAATGGAGCCTAACTTATTGTAATAATTATTTGACGTAGCCTACTTTTACACTCAGAATTATTCCTTGGCATCCTCACGTACTAAACTGCATTTTTAAAAATTGTTTGTGTGCTGAAGGTACACTATTATGTCGTGTGCAGAGTGATGTTAACATTCAAGCTAGCTGGTGAAAGAAAATGGCACTATCAAAGAGTCTAAAGAGGAAAGTTGACAGCGAAAATAGGACGTACAAAGTCAAAGAAGAATGGAAAGACAACTATACAGTCATCCTACCTAGTTTTGTAACTGCAAAGCCGGTGTGTCTTATCTGCAACGAACTGTCTGCGGATTAAAGTGAC